CGGGAGGGGGGGGGGGGGGGCTTATGAAAAAAAAATATATCTAAAAAAATCACTCTTCGCCTTCTCTGACCAGCCTTATTTTTCTAATTTAGCTCATAATATGTGTACACACGTGTGATATATATATTTTTTGAACATATATATATATACACACACATATATATCCGCTAAGATGGACACGAATTTCGTGTTTATTTTTTTACAGAAAAGAAAAAGATTAGAATGAAAAAAAAAAAACAAATGACATTCTTGCATCCTATTTAAATCCGGATGGCATCACCCACGTACGTACACTTCGTCTGCCCGTCTTAAAATTTATTCCGAACTTAATTACAATCAGGCGCTTTTCACGCGCGTGGACTCATTTAGCTGTATTCTCTCTTTCTCTCTCTCTCTTACACACACACGCGCGCGCTCTTGGTTACATCATTCTCTTATTTTTTCACATTTTTTAAAACTGCTATGTCGTATCCTTCCTATCTAGCGTTTCAATTAAATTTTTAGGCTACTCGTAATCGTGACGTTGTTCTCGCTAAGGACAAGGAGGCACGCATATACGAATATTGCTAGATGCGATGAGACAATTTATCTTATTTTATTCTCTCTTTCTCTCTCTCTCTCTCTCATTTATCGTAAATAAAAGATCATTCATTCATTCGCTCTTTCGATTATATCCTTCGCTATGGCCGCAAAGTACGCGAGTGCGTTTCACTCGTTTGACTAATTATTGTGAATGAGCTTTAAAAAGAAATTAGTGTTGATGCCATTACAATAAGTATTAACCTCCTCCACCCCACCCCCACTTCCCCTTCTTAATGTATTACCAGAATGACCCCCTTTTTTTTGAGAGACATTATGGAGAGGATCTCCATCTAAAGGCGCTTTACGAAGAAGCACAGTTTCCTTCTTCTTGGGAAGAGAAACAAAGATGTTATATATAGGATGTTATATAAAGGAGAAAAGGCAAGTGTGTGAGTGTTTTTGTGCTGAAAGATCAAGTATCATCTTCCGAAAAGGCAAGTAAATTAAAAAGCGCTAAGACAAAGACTAAAGCAAAGTACTAATGTCGTTTAGGGACATTTAAAGAATTCGTGTCTCTCTTTCTCTTTGTATCTTAAGAATCTTTACCTTCGCGTCTAAGATCGAAGTACTCGATATTTTCATTGTTTATCTGCGATTCGATGAAGTTTGATAATTTAAAAAATTCGCATATTTTTCTACCAATTTCTCTCTCTCTCTCTCTCTCTCTCTCGATGGTATATTCCTGCTTTTAGTGCCTTGGACTACTATAGTTATTACATACAAATTCGCATATTTTTCTACCAATTTCATGTCGTTTAGGGACATTTAAAGAATTCGTGTCTCTCTTTCTCTTTGTATCTTAAGAATCTTTACCTTCGCGTCTAAGATCGAAGTACTCGATATTTTCATTGTTTATCTGCGATTCGATGAAGTTTGATAATTTAAAAAATTCGCATATTTTTCTACCAATTTCTCTCTCTCTCTCTCTCTCTCTCTCGATGGTATATTCCTGCTTTTAGTGCCTTGGACTACTATAGTTATTACATACTGAGTTATTGTTGACTCGAATGGCAATGCGTATTACAATATCCTAGGTAGACCTTTTACAATAATTCACTTTATTTTCGTATTCTTATGCTATGTACAAGCTTCGCTCCCAGTGGCTCCAGAGATTCTCTTGGCCCTTAAGTTTTTTATTTCCCAAAGTGTTTTTCTTTTCTTCGACTCTTTTTTTTTAATTTTACCAACTCTTCACGACCTTTGCCCTATCACTCCTCACCCCATCCATTCTCACGTCACTCAATTGTCTGTCACTTATTAATCCCCTTTAATCACCGTCCACTCTTGTAACGCTCATAAAAGCACTAAAGCGCCGGCGTGACACGTTTTAATAAGGGCCGTCGCACAATCGACACACAGAGTGACACGATAAAATAAGACGATATCGGCAAAAGTCCCACCAAATATATCAGGGCGATATTCACAATCGACGAAAATAAATAATTCCTACGTTACTTCTCCATGGAGCGCGATTCCACGTAATCTTGAAAGCGCAAAACACCATATCTCGAAATTATTATTCGCCTGGCGCACCATCGACGGACTTTGCAAGCCCATCGTACCACTTTTATTTTTCAATTATCAATTAGTATGCTCTTGTGTATTTTTCTCCTCTCTTTTTTTTTTATTACAATCTTTTAATTCCTCATTCCCCATGCTACTCTCATCATTCGCGCATTTATTCAGGAAAAATCCAGCCCCAAGGATTTACGCGCCAGCTATCGCCACCTACTTTGGTCCAATTGTGCTCTTTACAAGAAATGGACCTTGCTAGTATAATCGTTCTACATATGAAAAATACATGTTTTCATATAAAAAAAGCCGAGTAAAATCCATTTTTTTCCCGGGACGTCGTCAAGAAGGAGCCTCGTCGTCGTTCTTATTAGCGCACCAAAAGTACCACGATGTGTTTCCTTAATATGGAGAAATGCTAAGTTTTCATAATTCTCCAAGAACCCATGAGACAATACAGTAAATTGTATCAAAAATAAAGTCAGACACCCACATACGTAAAACTTTTAAATAAAAAAAGTCATAGTCACCCATTTTCAGAATACCCTCACAAAATTCCCAGCGTACAATGCAATTCGGAAAAAATACCTGTGCAATCAAAAAAAAAAAAAAAAAAAAAAAAAACAAATTGAACAAAAAAAGAACTCAAATACAAGTGTCTCCGCAAGTGACGCGGAGGAGAAACCTCGCACCATTTATTAAGAGAAAAAAAAATCGCTTAATCTAAAAACTCATGACGAGAAGCGAGCGCGAGGTAAAACAAAGAGAAAAAATAAAAGCTCCGAGACGTATAAAGGAGGAAGGAAAAAATAACTAAGAAGAAGAAGGAAAAATAAAGCAGAGGAGCCGAATCGAGTTCGCGATCCGAAGAATGTTCAAGTGGAAATTTCCAAAACGGAAGAGAGAGAGATTTTTTAAAAAAAAGAACAGAATTTCCCCCTCCATACTACGTTTTTTTTTTAAAGGTAATCCTACAAGCTACCTAATTATAAGTCGTAGGTTACAATTTGTATATTACTAATTAGGAGCTGCGTGAGCATGTCCTCAGAGGCTTTAATCACAGCATAGTAGTACATTACCTCGTAGAGCTTGCACAATGACTAGCCAATATAAAGATCATTTTTTTTTTCGACATTATTATTATTTTCGGTTTCTTATCCCTTTTTTATATCATTTTCATTACACCATCCCACTAGTTATACTGTTAACGTTTTGCGAATTTTCGTCGAACGCGACTCCGTCTTAATTTTTTTTTACGCAATTTTCACCCCCCGCCTCCTCCCAACCCCTTCACGCTGGCGATCATTTGCGTTTTTTTATTAATTTCTCGTCGTTTACTTAGTTTTTTTTTAATTAATCGTTTTTGCTTCTATTTTTTTTTTTTAGTTTAGTTACAACCCCCTAGAACCCTTTATGATAATCAGTCTTCCCAGATGACTCCATTCTCCCATGGAATTCAAAGCCCCAGGCATACGCACGCAGTTTTCATTATTTTTGCAACTAAATTACCGAAAACACAGACCTAACGGTTTGAGGCACGCTAATACAAATTTATATTTATACTTTGTATTTATGTTATGTATGTATGTATATATATTTATAGCTTAGTCGAATCGCGTATGAACAAATAATTAACGAGTCCCTCATAAGTTGACTCACTACCAAAAATTTAACCATGGTAGATCTCGCATTTTTTTTATTTCTTCTTTTACTTAACCGCATTAATAATATGTATACATATTATAGTCACGTTCTTGTGTCATGGTTAATCCCGTTTTGCGGATCCTTCCAATCAGCAATATGTTTCCCTTTTTCATAATCTTTTCCTTCTTCCCTAGTTTGTTTATTCAGTGTCCTACGCGAGCGAGTGTCAGTATGTTCTTGGTGTACATCTGTTATATGTATCCATATATATACATATACATACATATATATATATATATATATATATATATATATATATATACGTATGCATATACGTGCGCGTCTCTGCATGCATCTATAATACGCGCGTACATGTGTTATGTTATGTTAGTAACGCTAAAACTAATTCTAGTAGTGTTCAAAATAACAGCCCTGCTATTACACTCTAATAATAGATATTATATACAAGTCTGTATACAGAGTACAGTTTTCGATATGTGAAAAGTAAGTACACCTATGGAACAGATTTTTTTTCAAGCTGCATAATAGAATGTACCTAGCTATAAAATCTCGTGACAGGCGCATACATATATATGATATATACACACGTGATAGATACATATATATTATATATATGTGTCTATTTATCGTTAATTCTCGATGCGATACTCGGTGGTGCACACAGCAGTGATGAAACGAATTGCAGTGATTGAGACTAAAAGAGGATTACAGAGAGAAGAGATGAGAGAGAAGACTTATAAGAGAAATATTTGAAAGGAGGTGCGAGAGACGTAGTATTTCTGGATAAGAGAAAGAAAGAGAGTTATTTAAAGCATGTAAGAAAAGCAAAATTGAAACCAGGAGCTCTGTAACGTTACTTGTGTGTAACTTCTGGTATTGTCCAGGAATTTGGACCGACTTAACATGGAGCTAGTTGTATAGTATAGATGTATAGATGAAAATTAGTGTGTTTCTTAAGTTTTTTTTTTGTTACTAATAATAGTAATTTTTGTCAGCTATATAATATATAGTAGTGAGTGTCGAGGAGGAGGGGTATGCCGATACTGATTATAGTAACGACTGTGATAGTGAATAGTGACGTTGGTGTTGGCTTTTATCGTGGTTAGTAGCATTGAATAATAGTAACGGGTAGTGGGTGGTAATAGTAGAGTTAAATAGTTAATAGTATAGTACTAGTAGTACTTGCAGTACACTATGGTAATAGTAATAATAGTTGTTGTATGGTAATAGTAGTAATAGATTAGTAATAGTAATAGTAGCAATAGAGTAGCGTTAGTAGTAGGGTGTCTACCAAACACCTTCGGTAGAGACCAAAGATACTCGTCAATAAATTCAATAATGTTGTAGCTACGTACATCGTTCAAGTGAAATTGCTTTTTGTTCTTTTACTCCATATTTTTGTTGTCGTTTGATATTGAAAAATCATAAATCAATAATCTTTTTTGTTTTCCTTTTCTTTTAAACGTTGTAGAGAATAATTACTATCTATATCACAGATCCAAGTGACTAAACTCCTTTAAAAATATAATATAAATAGGGCGTGATGCTCGCATGGCCTCGTGCATTGATTGCTGAACACGATTTGAATGTAAAGGAGAATGTATCAAAAGAAAACTGGTGCTGCTGTTTTGTAATGAATGGGAGAAGAATCCGTTGAGAAGATACGATTGATCACGTGGCCGTATCATGACTTGAGAGTGTGTGAGGGAAAAGAGAAGAAAAAAGGAACGAAAGGAAACAGAAGAAAAGAACTGGAAGAATCAATTGATCGAGTGATCGATCGTTTGTGAAGGATTAAATAAAAATTATGGATATATGCATGCACGTGTATAGAGTTATTCAGACTACTGCATCAACTGAAATTAGTCTGTTTATTCAATTTTCGTAGCAAAGCCAACTTCAGTCGGAACAATAGTTTGAATGCCACCGTATATTTATGCGATTAGGAAGAGTGACTGAGATAAGATAACCATATGGATAATGGTAAAGAAATGATTAGCATGGAAGAGTATACCGAATTTGGTGAAGAATGAAAAAGAAAATACACCAACGACACGTATTATCGCGTTATTGTGAGGCATGGGTGTGTGTCTTTGTGTGTTTTGAATCTAGTAGGTAAAGTTTGTCTGTCCTTTATACCCTAGCGTTAATTGTTGCGCTGCATATACTCAGAATAGGATAGCGAAGAGTTTCCATTGGTGTACTGAGCGTAGAAGTAAAGCGCAGGGTGAAGTCCTGGCGGCGCTATGCTGCGATGCAATTGATGATGGTGGTGGTGATGATGAAGGTGATGAGAACCCGATGACTCCGCTGATGGCATATGCGGATAGAGATGGGACTCGGGGCTGTCGAGGGTAGCAGACCCTGTCGTTTGGTAGACACTTTGCGTAGTGGAGGTGGTGACGGCGGTAGTGGCGTGCTGCTCGTGCGACACGGGTGAGTTAAGTGTGTACGGCGACGTTGTCGAAGCCGAGGGGGGACATACTACTTGCTGCGAAGACTGGTGTAACTGGTGTAGGGACTGAGAGACGCTCCCGTCTAAACACTAGTTGGTAGTCTGCGGATGTAGCAGAGGAAGAGGAAGTTGTAGACTGTTCTGCTTGGCGAGGCTGGCGATTTCAGCGGCGATGCCGCCCTTGCCGCCACCAAGGCCATCGAGAGACGAGGGACCCTCACTATAGCGCAGGTCGCACACAGGACTCTCGAAGCCGGTACCTGGTGTGCCGCCACCAGTACTCTGGGGAGTTGCTGGATTGTGATTGGAACTTGCCTGATTCATGTCACGATGGACCCGGTTCTGGTGTCGTATGAGATAGCTGTCCCGCACGAAGGTACGGCCACAGATGTTGCACTCATAGGTGGTGCTTGCGGTGTGTGTGCGAATGTGAATCGCAAACTGGCTCTTGGAGGTGAAGGTCAGGGAACATCTGTCGCAGACTAGAGGTTTCTCTGCGACATGGCTCCAACGATGTGCAGTTACGTAGCTCTTGACAGCAAAACGCTTTTGACATATGTCACAAGCGTACGGCCGCTCACCTGTGTGCACACGCTTGTGGGTGTTCAAACTACTCTTCTGTGTGAATCTTTTCAAGCACAACTCGCACTGGAACGGTCGTTCACCAGTATGTGTTCGCATGTGAACTTCCAAATATGGCTTGCGACAGAAGCTTGCCTCACAGACCGTACAATGGTATGGCTTGTTGCCAGAGTGCAGCTTCATGTGAACATAATATGATGATGCGGAGGACAGTACCTTCCCACAGACTTTACAAGCCTGCGGCTTAGAGCGTGAGCCCTCTTTTACTGTCTGCTGCCCTGTAGACTGACGTGTTGGCGTAGTCTGCTGTACATTCTGACCTTGCTGCTGACTTTGAGTCTGCTGCTGGTTTTGCTGCTGCGCTTGCTGCTGATGAGGCTGCATTCCCTGCTGCTGCTGTGGCTGTAGATGACCCTCCTGCTGCGAAAGGTCCTCTCGGTCATCAGAGAGGTTCACCATGGAGTTGGAACCATCGGAGCGACTTGAGGCTACTGAGTAAAAACCCATTGGCTCGCTCTTGATCTGTTGCTCGAACATGGACGTCATGATGTCGGCCTGCTGCGGCTGGGCCAGCTGCTGCTGTTCCTGTTGCTGCGCGGCTTGCTGATGAGGGAGCAGAGTCAGGTTGCGCTTGACAAGCTGCTCATATCCTGCGTACCAATCCACCTGCATTATACGAGCGGACTGAATTACGCACGGTATCCCGTGATATTGCGGCCTACGTGAAGACGAGACACGGCAGGTTGCACCAAACACAACCACGGGAAAGCAATCGAGTGTCTATACATCAGGTTAGACGTTTTATCGCGTTTGACATTTATTTTTGACAAGTGACAGAAGTGAGCTGCCCGATCAGCTGATTGCATAACTTTTCCGCGAGCAGCCAGCCGCGGCGCGCATTTTCCCGGATGGGAGTCGCGGAACGGGCCATGGCCTGTGTCGCGCGACGGGCCACTCTATTTTTACAAGAGCGACAAGAGAAGCGGCGGAATATCTCGACGCTAAAACCGGATCGCCGTGCGCGGCTCACGGTGGGGGCCGTAAGATGCTGGGCCAAAGGAAACGCCGTCGGACTAACCTTTGCTATCGTAGTGGTCCAGGCTAGTGTTAAAAAAGCTACGCCTCATCTAGCGCACGCCTCACGCCGATCGCTCTCACGGTGTATCGCGGAACATTTGTTTAAATAGTGTTTTTCTCCAACACAAAATATAAGATGGCTGCTACTATATTTCTCTCGACAGCCACTATACATATATAAAACTACTGATTGACGGTATGCACCGAGACTTCTAATTGGCCCACGAGCTTAAGCTACGAAGTTACCATCGACTCCAAACGATGGCTGCCAATGCCTCACGTAGCGACGGACGCTTCTCCGAACGAACCTTAATGCTTCTGATGGACGCTCTCCTCTTTTTTCACAATTATACTACTACTCACGTTTCTTTCAGCTTCTTCCTTAAGAGATCCTTAATGCCGTTCAAAAAATGTATCATTTTTCACTAAATCAAACACTATTTTAATGCATACTTTTAAGTCAAGATTTCTAGGGGAATTCCCTATCTTCCTCATCATTCCATCCATGCCCAACTCCACGAGCACTCCCACGAATCGTCAGCTTGAGAGAGACGGATATAAAGCATCCGATCTTTTCCGACAATACCCGATGATTGTCGATTCTTATGATTTGTGTATGTGGTAGAGTTTAATGTCATACGGTAACTTAGTCGGTGTTTGAAAGAATCAACGTCTCCTGACAGCACAAAGAAATTATTGTATACTTAAGAATAATTAGCCAGGTAAAATTATTTTATAATAAATAATTAATACGGTTAATATTGTTATACGTCTTTATTTCCTTATTACTTGCATCTTAAACGACCTTCCTTAAACGGGAATTAGAGGCTTTACTGTTTAGTACTAGGCTCTGTTCATATTGAGAGTTGTTTTGGTTTTGCGGCAATTTTGTAAGTATAGAAAAAAATATTGTATTAACTTGTCCAGTAGGAATATTATCCCAATAACAATGTCATAAGGTACGTTATATGTCATCTTATTAATGGGCACTAAATACGGCCCGGTTTTCCTGTGTATCTCTTCAGCGTAATACGGCTTTCAGATACGAGTTCAAACGGACTAGCACGAAAAGGAGTGCTCAATAATTTATTGTACATTTATTTCTGTGTAATCAACAATTCGTAAGAGATCTGACAAGGGTAAGTAAATTCAATACAAAAAAAGTCGCTTGATTTTAGTTACTAATTGTAACTACTTATTTCTCCTCTTCACATAGAAATGGCTGATCCAGCGGGAAGCGTTATAAGTCCAACCATAAATGACCCGGTAACAAAAGCAGTCGTTGATAATATAATGGGAAATTTACCCACAAAGAAGCCACATGTACGCTGTGAGGATTGTGATATTTCATTCACAAGTCAAACTGTCTTGGATGCACATTTACAAGGTGCTCGTCATGCAAAACAGGTATGTTTCTGTTTATAATTTCCTTTCCAAGAATATTGATTTTTTTATATTAATCATTTGTACATTCCCTAGATTAGATCAAAAACTATTATGGCAACACTCGAGGAAACAAAAGTTGCCTTTACAAAAGATGAGGAGACGAATGGGCTTAAGTGTAATGTTTGTAATGTTTGCTTGAACTCGATACAGCAATTACAAACACATTTAAATGGTAATATTTATATTTGTATATATATAAGCATTTTATGCAAATTACAAGCAGCAGAGAATTATTATTCTTTTTAGGAAATCGTCACAAGAAAAAAGCCATGAAAGGTAATAAGCAGCATGCAGTAAAAAGTTCAGTACCGTATGCTTTTAGGTGTAGACGAACCATGCCTTTGGAAAAGTTAACGCAAAAACATGCAGTTGTAGTTGTTTACTGCTTGATCCTATTTACTTTTGCATGCTTCGTTTTTCTGCTGACTTTCGTCTTTCATCTTTACGTCCTGTAAAGAAATGCGGCAACAGCTTTAATATTCATGCGAGTAGTGCCAATATTATCGCTTAGCACCATTTACATTGCATGCCACTTGTAGTCAAACTACAAAATGATATTCTATAATTATTTGTTACTATTTATTACTATTTATTTTTCTAAGACTGATAATTGTACAATTTTTGTTCGTTGGTATTTTAATATGTAAGTACTAACGAATTATATATCGCACGTTAACTTGTTGAAATTAATTATTAAAATGAATAATATAATACGCATAATCACAAGAGAAACTGCCCGAAGTGTAATACAACGGCAGGTCGTGCTCTTTGACAGTATGCTTAGTAAATATTTTGTTACAAATAAAAAAATAAAATTAAAGATCAAAACAAGACAAACTGAAAAATAACCACGAAATATGACTGTTACGTATAGTTTCTTATCCAACAAAATTTCCGTGCTTGATTTTTTTTCTCTAGCGCATCTGCCATCCATTTCCAGTCAATAGTCCTTCACCTACCCTGTCTTTACAACTGTCATCACTTCCTTTAAAGTATCTCAATCTTGTCGTTCTCGTGGCATGAATGTAGTGCTCAAGCTGATTTATTATCACAAAGTACCGCAACTTGCGGTCGTGATAGATAGATAGTGTTGATCGCACATTGATGCTTAGGTGGCTGGATCGGCAAGGATGTTGTTCAACTTGGCACCACGACAACGACTACGACGGCAAGAACACCGTCATCTACAGGGAATTTAGACTTGGCCACATCCACGACGGGATTCGCGTACTCTTGCGATATTTGTAACAAGTTTTTCAACTCCCAGGCGCAATACGACGTGGTACATACAACAAGAATTATCTTCTCAGTGTTTAATCGTGATTTTTTGTCAGTATAGCATCTTACTCATCTTTATATTGAAATCTTGTATCCTCCACGTGATACAAGAGAATAACGCGCATGATTACCACTTTCTAGCACGTAGCTTCGAGAAAGCACATCGACAAAGCTAATGGTACGGCTGCCGCTAAGAATCAAAGGAAGAAAAGATTCTTTCCTTACTGGAAGAGGACTAAAATGGATAGCAGCAAAATGTCTCACATACAGTCACTAGCTAGTAATTTCGTTACTGGTGGTTATGTGAATTATATGTAGAGATAGGGTGATGTTTTTTGCTCTTTTTCTTTATTCTTATGATTCATCCTTCCTGGGCCATTTATCACAGACATTGAAAATGCAGAATATAAATTGCTGAGAGATGGATACAATTCTTACGTACTGTGCAATACATGTAATTTTTCATTGAAAAAATATGCACTGTGTATATGTAATAAAATGTCTGATAAGAAGATAACACTGCTCTCACGTAAAGCCACAGGATGTAGGAAATATAATTATGGTATCACTCCGTACAGAAAATATTCTTCAGGTAAAGTTTTATCTTTGTTCTTTTTAATCCAAACTTATTGTTGATCTTGTTTCTATTGGTGCTAGACCGTGCCCAGGCTGAAATTTATTCAGGAAATATTTTATTAGAACATCTTATACAGTTTACTCCTGTATGTACATATATTACCTTTAGCATGTATATTTCCAGGAGCCGACGAAGTTCGGCGTTCTGTCTTCGCAGACGCTTCGTCTCCAGGTTGAGTCTGTGCCTCTCCTTCAGGATCTCGTGGTACTTGTGAAGTCCTATCAGAAGACCGTCCCAAAGCTTTTCCTTCTTTGTGGAGAAAATATCTCTATAGCGTCGCCAAAATTCAGTGACATCTTCTACAGTGAGATTGCGGGATACTGTCAGTTTCTCCTGGGTTAATCTTGTCTGGAACGACGGTGTTGCTTCACCACGTCTGATGACGTGATATTTGGCTACGAATTCTTTGAGTGCCTTCATTACATATGCTGGATGAATGTCCAGGAGGTGACCCTTCTTACAAGAGACCTCTCTTTGCCTTAATTCATTAGTTCCAGCATCTTTTATGAATTCAAATTCTTCCATTCTTGGTACAGCCGACGAGCTGCTGTGAAATTCCTGTGACGTTGCTTCGCCAGAAATAGTGGAAGATTCATTACTCCCTCGTGATTCTGGGTTATCTTCGCTATCCTCACTTAATTCTCTGTTGTCCTCAAACGTATCAGGGCAAGTATCCCTGGAGTAAAGACATCTCTAAATTATTATACGGTATACAATATTTTTTAATTATTTAAAAATACCTGAACCTACTCGTTCAGGCACATGGTCAGCTCAAATGCCTTATCAGATGGTTCATCATCGTTAAATGTGACTTCCTCCTTATTATGGCATGTAGGACAGTAGGCATAGGGCAGAAAGAAATTCAATAGCAAATCCACTTCTTCTTCAGACTTCATATCCAATGCCTGTAAAGAATTTTATTGGAATAATTCATGTATTTAAGGAAAGTAGTCTTCAAGAGGAATATAGACTTACTCGAAAGACATTTCCAAGGGTGATAATGGTTTTATCGTTACACGTATATGCTCCTAACAATCCACGTAACTTTTCTTCTATTAGAAAACCAGATTTATCTGATATCTGTGTGACGATGCGATTCAGCAATTGTCTCTCCATCTTTAAGTCCTGAAGGGTCGTTGCCACTTTGAACGGCTCACAGACTTTCATGGTTTCCTTAGTCTCTGCCTTTTCTAAAAGGGGGACACATACGTTTACAGGATACTTATTGCGTACCGCTATGTCAATTCGCATGTCTCGCTTTAACATTTTGTTTGTTTACTTTGTTCGATCGCAGAAGTCGCACTGCGATAGGATTGTAGATCCTCTTTCGTTAGTAATGGCTCGTCCGGAGGTTCCCATTCTAGACCCAATGCTTGTTCATGAATAATTCTATCCACGGTGAGAATCTGTATAGTGACGAAAGAAAAGAAGAAAAAAAGCCATAAGAATACAGAGTTGGAATTTTGTCTTCTAAAACATTCGCTTAACGAACTTTCTCTACGAGTCCTTCAGCCTTTTTGGCATTCATGTCCCAAATTTGCAAATACTGCTTCTCGTTTATCCGAGTAAAATGATCAGACTTCCTTTCCAATTCCAAAATATTTTTGTGAGCCTTCATCACCTGCTCTGTTAATTTTTGTATATCCATTTTGGTATTCTCCTCGAGCTCTGCATAATTCTTCTTTAGCCCATTGATGACGTCCTGGAGTCTGGGTAGTGAATTAAAAAGAATTTTGTGATAAAAAGTTATTAAAAATTAAATTATCAATTTATCAATAGAGACTTACTTATTGATTCTGCGCTTCTGCTGGCCCTTTATTATGGTATTCTCGTCTTCTCTACGTTTCAATACAGCATAGCTGTAATCTAACTTTTCTATATTCATCATACAGAGAAATTTTATGTGCTCAACGTCCTGTTGCAATTTTTCGTACTGCGTCTCTAACCAGATCTTTTGAGCTCTGGTTTCCTCTTGGTGTTCGATCACGACTCTCTTCATCTCCTTTTCATATTCCTGCATTATTTCTTTCCTCTCTTCAATTCCATTTATCTCTTCTTCGTTTCTCTGTCTGAATAGTCCGTCCCATTTTTTGGAAACTACTTTCAGAAGAACCTTACGCTCTGTATCTATTGCATTTTGAATTAGAATGAGTTCTCTGTGATAAACCTTAGCCATAGTATTGACCTATAACAAATCAGAACTTAGAGTCACCTATTAATTAAGTATAAGACCTCATTAAGCCATTCATACAGACTTGATTGTCAATTCTTTCAATTAATAAATTAATATCGTCATTCTGCTTCTCTTGATCTTCGAAAAATTTAACGTCAGCGTTTTCTAGTTCCTGTTTTAATTCAGCTATCACACAATTTTTCGATTCGAATACTTTAAGACAATCAGCATTCTGAGCTTCCATCTCGCTGTGAATGTCTAGAGGATCATTGGATCCCAAAATTCCTGGCCACTTGCTACTAATCTGTTTGTACTTTTGCAAACTCTCTTCCGACTCCTCTTCGAGACGTGATAATAATTTACTACGAATTTCTTTTTCTTCCTTTCGTCGTTGCACCTCACGGGCATCGTTGGCAACTCGGACATTTGATATCTATAAATAAAGGTCTCTAGAATTTACTTCCAATTAGCATAAATTCGAATTTAGATTATCATCCTTACAACTTCGTTTCCTTCTAGTATTAATTTTTCTAATAATTCAGCGCTGGCTAGAATTTGTCTCTCCGTTGACGTCTTCTCAACTACTTCCTCCTCCTCGGGACCCTCCTGTCTGTAGGTATTTAATTTATCATATAAATCTTTAATATTTCTTCAGTGATTAAATACAAACTTACTTCTTTAAGGCCTCGAGGCGTCTTTGAATCCGAAGCCTCCGGGCGAGTTTGCGCTCATTGGGATCCATTGAGATCACGGATGGTTCCTCCATTTCGTCGAAATCGTCCTGAGACCATTTCTTCCACTCTGCCATTCTGTTCTCTTTATTATGATATGAAAGACCAGATTTGGGAATAATACTCGCTGTGGTAACTTGGTAATAATCGTAACCAGCGGAATAAACAAATGGATCGATACCGGAAGGGTGACAGGCGAATCCTAGAAAGTACCTACAAGATACAAAAAACCATTAAGGGCATTTTCCTTCATAAGAAACAACAGAAAGCATCGAGAACATTACCAATCATATACCGGAAGCATAGTGATTACAAAAAGAATGAGTGCTTCTAATAAATTTTGAATTTTGATATCTCAATGTGCAATTAGGTAGTATTGGTAACAGATGGCACTGAGAGGTTGATAAGAAGCGATCAATAATTCATGCATAGACATATATATATAGTATATGTATATCTTGCTGTCTAATATAATACGCAACAGTCAAGAATTTGACAGCTGTCGTACAGTAGTCTAAATGAAGAATTTAGCAGTAATATATTTCCATATATGCACATAAGACGCAATTCTACATCTCGTGCCCCCATTTCCATATCAATCTACTCCTATAGATAGTCTGTGATTGTACGTCGGTTAATTACTAACCGAGTAGACCGTATCACCCATCAACAGATGGCGCCACCTACATATGCAACGGGTCATGACGCCACAAGCCGCCGCCATATTGTCGTTTGGTCTTCTTGCCACAATTCAGTAACATCCGGCTCTATGAGCGTCATCATGTGGAAAACTGGATATGCCGAGTTTCCTCGAGGCTCGAGGATGCCGTCGTTACGTTGGACGACACCAGGAGGAATCAAGGATGCGAAAATGTCCTGGGAATACGTGGTGGAGGATGGTCCGTAGCTGAAGGAAACAGGAGCTCAACGTTGCATTATAGCGGAGTCGGGGTGTTGGTTTTGCCAATCGTGCCGTGCGCACTACGGCATTCACGAGTGTACGTCGTCTATAAGCGTACCGTTACGTGTTTGCAGTACGAATTATGAAACGAGGATGCGTACTACTTTCTCGAAAAGGTACCACGTACGCACGAGGAAGGTGAAACGCCCTTCTGCGATGAGCCGAATATTTCAAGGGTAGTAGCAGAGAGGAAAGGAAGAGAGGGAGAAAGAGTGAGAGGGGACACTGAAATATTAAAATCCTGTAAGTGCTACTCTCCTCGAATATTCCCATCACAGTGCGACACGTAGTACAACACAATCGTTAATGTTCTTCCCTCATAAATAACAGATATCCATCACATCCATAAAACGTAAAAGATGATGCCCCCCAGCACGAGATTCCACATATGTAACCAGATTAATTCCCATGAAACAAGAGAGCAATAATATTCCATATCCCTAAGGCAATTCTCAATGACGCACAGTCAGTATAGATAATCAGCTGAATGAAGAAAATCGACAAAAGTCGAAGAGTCCCCAGGATGATATCCAGAGAAGCAAATGAGCCACGATTCTAAGCATCGAGTCCAAAGAAAAGCAAGGCAAGAGGCAGCCTGGTGTGTAGTGGCACGACGAGGAGTATAAGGATAACATGGTGGTGGTTATTCCTGGTGGGGATAGAAGTAAGAGTAGGTTAGGTAGTGGCCTGGTGGGGCGCGGCATGCCGCATCTCTCGGGTTAGCTTGTTCGACCCGTTATCCCCACCAGCATACACCGGGGCCTGCCGAGATCCCCACCTGTCCTTGCTTCGATTCCACAAGTCCACGTTGCATCCCCACCACGAATAAAACCGAACAGCCGATCGTGATCGCGAGCCGCTTCGGTGTAGACTCGTTCTGTTCCCCTACAGCGTATCCCCACCACGTCTCGACCTAGCCAGCGAGCCACACTACGCTCCCGCCACGGTGACGTCACTCCGTGTAGTGTAGTGCAGTGAGAAGGAGCAAAGTTTAGCTCCGTCCGTGTACATGCCCAAGTGAACGAGCGGGTACGTACGGCGTATACGCGCGCAATAAGCGATTACACCCAACAAATCTATACACGCGTGCATACATATATATATATATATATATATAGTGTATATATATATACACTATATATATATATATATATATATAGTGAATATATATATACACACATCACAAGCACACACACACACACACACACAGTTATCTATATGTGTCGAGCTAAAGAGAGATATACGTTTTAACCTAACATTCGGCTAGTTAGTAGTTGAGTACTCAAACGACACGGGTAGCACCTTTAGCACAGTGATTATCGAGTGTGATGTGAACCGCGGTGTGTCTCCCCTAGTTAAAAAAAGCGTTGAAGCTCAGTGAAATTATATATATACATATATAAAAACGGGTAAAAACGACGACGGCGGCGGCGGCCGCGTCGCATCGTTATAATATAAAAAGTTCTTAAATAAAGCCTGTTGTGTCGATCCATAACAAGCCCTAGCGGGTTTCACAGTGAATCCTAGACGAGTAACAGGGAGAGTTGAGGGGGTTTAACAGTGCTTCGTTAATAATACGTATTATATAATAATAAATTGAAAAATCGTGAGTGATATGTTTGAACGCGTTAACGGGATGGATCGTTCCTATCCTGTCTTTTGGTGTCCGGTGCTGCTCCCGTTGCCGGCGCTGCTTCAGCTTCTGGTGTAACGTGTGAATTCGCCCATTCTTCGGATACGTGTGTACGATGTGGTGTTCTTCGGCTACGGGCGAGCTACACTCTGCCAGTGGTGTATACTACTACGGCTACTCGGACGTGCCGCAGTTTTATCGGGAAGCACTTCTTCTTCGCCCTCGTCACTTCCTACCCGTAATCGTTACGCGACCCTCCTGCAACCCCTGTGCTCGGGGTCACCATCTTCCGGCTAGTGACTAGTGCGTGATTTATTATATATTGTTGGTTATTATTCTTATTATTATTACTTGTCAACGGGTCAGTGAGTGGTACGGCTATATTATATACGCGAGTGGGCCTAAAATCATCGTCTCCTCTCTCTCTCTTAACCTTATACGTGTCACTGGATAACCCCGCGGTGGCTCTTTTTTTTCTTCCTCATCCTGACTCTTCATACAGTCTTGTAACACCTTACACGTACACGCAGGGGAACGCACACGAGCACACACACTATCTCTGTTCTGTTCCCTACGTCGCTCTTCTCCTGTCCCTCTGTCATAAAAGTGCGTGCGTGTCTTCTTGTTCGACTCTCTCTTGGTTTTGTCAACTGGTGAGCGAGAGAGAGAGAGAGAGTATGTGTGTAAGATATAAAGCAAGGGAGAGATAGAGTATCTCTCGTATATCCAGGAGCGTGCGATTTTTCCACGTCTTGGCTGGCCTTTTATACCTGGAGAGCCTGGCCGTGGCTCTTTCGTACCTATAATATATCGGTGGTGGTGGTGTGCGATTGGGCGAGTTGTGTGTCGTTGTACAGTGCCGCCAAACGATACCACAACATCCGATCCCAAATGAAGAGTTCGGAGCAAAATGGTTAGAGAGACACGTCACCTGTGGGTTGGAAATCTGCCGGAAAACATCCGTGAGGATCGCATAAGAGAGCATTTCAAAAGGTGAGTTGGTATTACAGGCACGAGTGTCCTAAGTTTATTACTTCTTGGTTATTTCATTATTTATTCTTTCTGTCTTATTGCTTTTCTTAAAAGATAACTGGATAACTATAAACGACTGTCTGTCTAGTTCCCCTCCTGCCTGCCTGGCTACCCGACTTGCTGTACATACGAACCCACTCCTTCCTCTCTTTGCAATGACGTTCTACAATACGCCAACGTTTTCGAGCTTCCTCTCTTCTAATATCCTGTTGTGGCTCTTCGTCCTACTACTATACTCTAGCTCTTTATGACGGTTGCATTTGCTCTACCTTAACTCATTTTCTTGTTCTTACACTCTGGATACCAGGATGAGTAACACGCTTTACTCTTAGATATTTCATATGAATTGCTTATGCTACTAACTGATAATAAATTTATTAATAACGTCTCAAGTGTTCCAAGTGGTTAGGTTAGGCTTAGCAAAGCAATGTAAAGTCTGTCGTTTATGTTCGAATCACGTATAACGACCTACAGCGGCTTCACTGTGCTATTCTAGAGTATCGTTATAAACGTCGCTACCTTCTTCACGACTGTGGCACAACACTTGTCATAGAAATACCGATAAATTTCTAGAGGATTTTACTTGGCAGAACTTTTGCGCTGTACTCAAAGCACGATACGCTGAATGCACTGTCTGATCTGTTTTGCATGTACAGACTTGACTCGCAAATATGTAGTGGTATTTATGATATTTACCGAAGATAAATAAAAGTCGCGGTTGGTTGCAATATTGTTTTTCGGTGGCAAATAACACGAAAAGTCATCCTTATCGTCCCGATTACGATAAAGAGAGAACTCCAGACTCCGCGTCAAATTTAAGTCGTACTCACGATCAGTCGTTCTCCTCGAGGTTAGGGACTGTAGGTTAGATTCTATGGATACTTGGGGGAAAAAGGGAATCCCTCCACGACGACGAAGCAAAGAGAGTAGAAGAAGAAAAAAGAGTGAGAAGATCGCGAGCCTTGGATGGCGCTCGTAGCGTGAGTGCGCCGTCATTTGTTTTTTCCCGAAGTAATAATAGCTGAGGACAGCCATTTTGAGAGCTCGCGGCGGCACGAAGTTATTGTTCGCCAGTGATGCTCATTCCGCGGCGCCATTCTCTTTCCTGACTTTGAAATACCAACGTAGGAGATAGCTCTTTCTCTCTTTCTTTTCAGCGCAGACATCTCGGTGTGTCTTTCCTTCTTTATCTTGCAGTCACGTTCACTCGACTCTTTCCTATTCACGATTGAACATCTTTTTCCTGAAGATCCATTCTGCTGGCTTCAAGTCCTCGCCATTTCCGCAACGGCCCACGTATCCATTAACATCGGAGGACGTGCGAGCCATTCTGTATCCCAAAGCTATCCGGAAGAAGATTGGAAGCACTGTCGGGGGCAGAGGGTGTTGGAGAAACGTTCTTGGGAGAGAAAGAGGAGAGAGCTTAAGTTGTTGCGGGAGGAAGGAAGAGGGAAAGAGAGCAAGGTAGAGACAGGAGACTAACGGTGACGCGAGTCCAGGGTCGCTCAACCTGCGGATCTCGTTACAACGCGCTAGGAAATTCCGTAAAATCTCTCCTGTGACAATCTAATACGGGTGCCATTAGAGTCGCAATGTAACGTCACACTCGTCGAGTTACCCTAGGCGATATTTCGTGGATATCGCGTGTCTCATTGTGAAAATAACCATCTGGTTGCTTCATTCGACGATTTCGTACTGCGACACACCAGGGTATTCGAAAGCAGCAAGGCGTGGACAGCGTAGGTGGCAATGCGGGATTTAGTCCAGTTTAATTAAATTCAAACGGGAGATAGCGAAGGAGAGTGAGGAATCGAAGAGAAACAAGCAGACAGTGTAGAAAGGAAGAAGAGAGAGAGAAGGGTTATAGTCTCCCGTTCGGCTGAAGCCATTATTTCCAAGTCGGACAGCTTGGATCTTCCCAATGACCGATCCTAAGCCCGGAAGGTTATCTTCTCGAGGTCTTGATTAAACAGCGAGAGGCGGCGAAACTATATTAAGTCTGGCGATTTTCGTTTCCACCGAAAAGAGACAACGCGCGGTAGATGAAAATACGAAGGAAAATAAGAATCGAGGAAAGGACGAAGGTCGGGTGTGGGGGGAAGAAAATCCCCAGGAAGGACGAAGGAAGCGGTAACGTTTCCTGGGCTGTGCGAGAGCGAGCGAGAGGTTAATGATGGTGGTGGGAGAGCGAGAGAGAGAGAGCGAGAAGGCCCGAAGGGCATCGTCGTGACTGTGGGCGACGGCGACAGTGGCTTCGCGACGCTGCAACATTCGCTGCGCCGTTGTGTATTGTAGCCCATGTTAGAATCGTTGGAGGGTGGGGGAGAGGTCGATGTTTTCATAACCGACTGTAGTGGCGGTCGTCTCCGCAATAAATTTTCCCACTTGAACACAGACGCACCGTTCACATTGCCAGCAGCACATTCCCGTTTCACGTGCCAGCTGGCGATATTAAACGGGCGTCGATACGCGCGAGACCTTACGTTACGACGACGTTCCCTTCGAATCGTGTAGCTTCTCTTTCTCTCTCTTTCTCTCGCTCTCTCCTTTTTGCCTCCACGTTCTACCTAGAATTCTCAATCGTATAGACACTCTTGTCTCTCTTTCGTGTTACACCCCGCTTCGAACTAACTTTTGTACTGCTAGTCTCTCTCTCTCTCTCTCTCTCTCTCTCTCTCTCTCTCTCTCTCTCTCGCTCTGTACGTCTCTTTAAGGTTTGTCTCAAGATGGCGGTCGTTCAGCCTGCCCTCCTTGCCCGTGTTTATCTCTCGGCTGGAAGCCGTGACCCCGCCGCTAGAAATATACGCGAATATCGGACGCCCTCCGCTAATAGCAACCATGATTTTTAAACATAGGTTACGCAGATAATGTTTTTCTACTCTTTGCAATTCATTTTCCTTTTAATCCCTCGGACACGATACTCTGACGCCATTATCCAAATGCCATGTTCCTATTTTTCTTTTCTTCACATCCGTTTTCTCACTTCTCTACTGTGCTGTCCTTTAGTACTCGCGTATGTCATGCATTTCTGATATCTTGTAGATACGCTCTCGGCATAGAGGCGCGAACAAAGCCCGTCGGCAGAATGAAGATTCAGGTCCGCCGGTCCTCGTCTCGAAAGTGTGTATCGTGTTGCAGCGCGGCACATTCGAACGGGCTATAAAAATAGAGTGGCCCACTATAGTAGTACCCCTTGTACGAGTTTGCTGCTGCTCTTGGGACTTCTGCTCCCTTCATCCTTTTCACTCAGCTTATTTCCATTCTCGCTCCTTCTCTCTCGTATCTTTTTGTCTATTTATCGATCCTAGTTTTTGGCTGTCCCGTTTGAAAACAAAGGAACGTCACCCGGGGACTTGGAATATACCACTCCCAAGGGTTCCCATGCTCTTACCATACGCCGCGCAACCCTCGTAGAGAATTTCTCTCTATGCTCGTGAGACACGCCTGATGTATGTACTTCGAAATTACCTACAAAATATGTATGCACGGATGCGCGTGTGTGGATAGGCGATAGTATTTTTATGAGGGACGAAAAGAAAGGCCCTAAAAGCATCACGTTCAAGAGAGAGAGAGAGAGAGAGACGAGCGAGAGCGACATGAGTGAGGTCGCAGGAGCTGATCCGAATCTTACCTGTCTGTATATATCTACATATATCTCTTGTATATATATACATAGGTCCTGTCGGTAGCATCAGTTAACTGTGGTTAACTGCGGTTAACTGTGCTTCGCCTTTTTGGGAGATTCCTGCCGGCCAACCCGATATCGTTATAGTAACGCCGAAATCCTCGATTCCGTCACCATTTATAACTAACTGTTATATATATATATATATATATATATATATATATATATATATATCATCGTCACGTTTACGACGTACTATAATCTCTTCTTTTTGGAATTTGATCTTCCTTCGGACGTACCTACCATATCGTACGTACCGTGTCTGCACGCGTCTCTGGATACAGGGTGTACCGGATCAACGTCCGGATATCCTTGGCTGGTTAAATTTTGTTGTTTGGTGTCTGGTAAAGATAGGTAGATATTTTTAGAATAAACTTCCAGACACATTTGAATGACTCGCGCAGGCCTGTAAATATGCATAATAATACCGAAACGTTCTATTCGGTGGAAACACAACGGGTATCGGATAATTTTTGCATAAGAACGCGATATACGTCTCTTCTCAAGAAGCATCCGGAATTCCAAAGGATATTCAGGTGTTCCGTTACACCCCGTATAGGATTGATATATGCGTGCAACTTGGCCGTGTGTGTCGGGTTCCCGTGCACGGTGGGTTGCCTGCCGTATTTTGGTATATTGATCGCGCGCGGTCGGCCATCTCCCGCTTCTCCGGCACCATCTCTCGCCCCCGCGTCCCACCTTTTCACTCCCTCCTCCGAAAGCCTCCCTTTCCCAGTGAACCGTAGTTCCCTCTTTGTCGTCTCTTGCCTACCAACTCTACCTCCTCCTCATTCTCATACTCATCCTCTTGAGCGTCACCTTCTCTATTCCCTTCGTTCCTGGTCTTCTCTCCTTCAGCTCTCCCTCTCTCTTCATCCCCCCCCCCCTCTCTCCCCAGCCATCGCCAAACTAAAGCCTCCGCTCTCGAAACTCCAGTCACACGCATTTTCATACCTTCCCTGTTTGCCCTTCTGTATATATATATATATATATATATACACTGCTCCCTGGGCTTTTCCCCACTGAAACAACGTTGCAGAACGAATTACATACGGTTCCACCCTCTGGGTTCTCTGTTCCTTCTACATCCTCGCCATTGTGCGTATTATAACCTCCTGTTTCTGTTGTGCTGCTCAACCCGATTGTATTATACGGGTAGATCGTAAACAACTGGAATTCGACGGAGCGTATATACGACGTCTAGATGGAGAGAACCTTCTGGAAGCACTATCTATGCGCGTACGTGAAACAGTGCTACCAGAGGAGGTTAACGAGGACGAAGGAGGAGGAGGTGGTTGTCGGTTTGGTAAACTGGATATTCGAAAGGAGGTTCACGCACGGCAGACAGCGAAGCCTAAAGCCGAAGTGCGAAATTTCTTAATCCCTCGACCGCGTTAACGTTGGCTGCCCTGCTGGCAGCTGGCCTGCAATGCAATTCTCGTCCCGAAATCCCTGCCACCGCGTACTTTGCGCCACCAAGTCGCCGTCCGTCTGACATTTACCACGCATCGCGAACACGCCTACGCCATTACAATCGACTACTGCGATCTATGGTAGAGTCATTGCTCGCTTGACAATCCGTGTATAGTTAAGGCGATCATTTTTCTTATTTTAGTATTTAAATGTTTATAAAGCGAAAACATTAATTCACGTTCGCACTACTGTCAGACGTAGAATGTATTCTTAGGCAATTCTCAAAGTTCCCGTTGCACTAGAAACGGGTGGTAGTACGAGCAGCGTTGTAATAGCGAGGCCGAGGCTAAACGTATTTTCGGAGTGACGTACGGTATAATTGGTGAGAGTGGGTTTCAGCATGTCGAAGACGCTGGATGGTTCGGGATGAACCCCGTCGGTGGTGATGCTCAAGATATATGTACGTAGTAGGTACGTTAGTACGCCGAGACGCGGAAAATACGACGTCGGCGTCCGCTATATTGGGAGGAAGGAGAGGAGGAGAAGGCCCTCTCGGGTGTATACATGCTCGGCTGACTTTCACCGACTGAGGCCGATCCGACGAAGACGGTGCTGCTCTGGTGGGGTTATGGCGGAGTAGCACTCTAGAGTGACGGAGACAGAGTGAGAGAGGGAGAGGATACTCTAGAAGCGGCAGTCCTACGCCGGGCATAGAGAAGGCTGAGTGGCTTTATACGAGCCGTACTGAAAACATCGACTCCTTCCTTCGCTGCATAAGCTCCGCTGCTGCCGGGATCGTTTCTTCTTGCCTCGTCCAGGTCGTTCTGTCCATAGAGACGACGTGTCGGCGTGTCCACAGAGAAGATGAAGGTGTCTGGACACGTGACGAAAGAAACCTCTTGGCTATACGCTCTGATTGGTATTCTAACGCTGACGTATTCTTTATTGTTCTCTAGAAGGCACACAGTTAACGCGGACGGACCTGGCGCAACGTTCTCGGCTTACACTGCTCCTTCAGGTTGGACGATGTTCCGTTACTGACTGCGTATAGGCGATATGCTTATAGGTTAGGTTATTCCGTATGTATCCATGTGTTGGGTATATTTACGAGTGTCCTCGGGGAGATAGGACGTTCGTGTAGATATGCAATACATATTTACATATATATATATCGAGAGAGAACCTAGGCCACGGCACCTTCTCCTTTATCAGAACGCGGAAGGTCGCGCCGATGGATAGTTTGATAACAACGGCACTGAATATTTAAAATGGCTGCGGTCGAGCGCAGACTGGCGATCGCGTGACTAGTAAGAGTTGCATTTACGTGTTGGTCTATAATCACCCTTTATATAGTCACGACCAGTGGCAGTGGCTTATATATATCTATACATAATCTATGGTTTATGCTCTAGGATAGGTAAGGGTCTTCCTTATACGTTATTTTCCTCAGACCCTCGCCCTCGCCTCCTCCTGACAGTATTTTTCCCTCCCGTGATTTCTATGGGAGATACCACTTTTTTTTATTTAGTTCTTTTTTTTTTAAGAACCCTTTATTTCTTTGGATTCCTCTTTAGAGGTAAACACATCGGCCTTCCTTAAGTTACTTTGTCGATGCCCAAGCCATGCCACATTCTCGTGTACCTCGTTCATTACCTTACGTTGGTTCTAGGCAAGAATTTTATTTTCTTCGTCCGAAGGATATGACACGTCGCTGAGGATGTATTTATATTTGCGTACGAGAATACATATTCCATGCGCTATTGCTCGGTCTGGAAATAACACCTGGTACCGTGCACTTCGTTGAGATCGGGAATAAAGAACGAAATGGCGGTTCATCTTCGAACCCCGAGAAGCTCCCGTTGGCGGGGAGCACTTTTGTCTTAGCACAGAGGGACAATTGTGCCGTTGCGTGGTCCATGTTACCCTAGCTACGAGTGGGATCAGGGGAAGAGCCCTCTCTGTTTGTCAGGAAAAGGGCCGCCCTTATTCAGTGGCACGAAAAAAAGGAAGATCCCATGGACCCCCTATGCTATCTATGGATTTTTCGCCAGGCGTCCCCAATACGATATATCCCTAGGCTTTAACCAGCAGAGACACGGCAACGTCGCTAACCACCGAACGCACATTTTTCTACCTTCCCAAGGACCCTCGCACCCTTGGGGTCTTTACTCGGCACTTGAATCCGGGTATACGGGGCCCTACCTCGACCTAATTGTGTCGCGTTACACCGAGCCGATCCCCCCTTTGTCGTATCCAGGGTCTACATTGCCTGTCACGTACCTAAGAAACCTCTCGAATTCGCCGCGTTACCTTCTTCCCCTTAGATAACACTAACCCTGGTGTACGTAGTCCGTCACATCGTTTCTTAGAAGTACCAAAGCATGTATAACCTAATAGGCTGTGCTCGTTAAATACAAATACAGAGTACCTATACATACCGCGTATGGGAATGCCCAGCTATGTATGTAAGTATAACGAAAAGCAGCCAAGAAGAAATAACGAGTAATAACGGCCTCGGCGATACCGAAGACGATGCAACAGCAGCAACACCGCAAGCCCCAAAGGCAGCCGAAGGATGAACCAAAAAGTAGGGACAAAGGAAACCATCGTAAGACCACCAGCAACAGAGCGGCAGGGACGTTCAACGCACGCCGGCTGGTTTTACCTCCTCGGGCATGTTTCTCAGTGTATAACGTACGACTTGGCAACGTCGCCCGGTCTCCGGCTCGAGCTGGCAACCGCGCGCGGCTATTACGTAACACCCGGCAACATCGCCCCGGGTGGGGAACGGGGGTGTCGGTACGCCACGGTACGGAGAAAGGGACGCTCGGAGGGACCCTGATACATGTATACTGTTTCACTGTAGCACTGCCCCGTGCTGTTTCGTACCCGCGCACGGTACTCTATTCTGTAATGCTCTTATGTACTATAGTATTCACTTCCATCAGTGTAGTATACTCTATAGTACACTACTGTACTACAGTATATT